GTCCAATAAATACAAAAAAAAAAAAAAAAACGGGGGGGGGGGGGGGGGCTCAGCCAGAAAACTCTGGCAAACTGTCTGCATTGTGTGAAAGAGGATACTGTTGTCCAAATAAGTTTCTAAGTTCCACCTGCCGCCAGGCCTGTGGCCTAGAATTCAGTGTTGCCTGCATTCCTTTCCTTTGTGATGGTGACCCTGTGTTCCATTAATGAGAGCCATTCAGAATAAGCAGAGCTAAGCTGGATTCTGCTCTGTTAGCTGGATGGGATTCCTGCTTCTGCTGCTTCTGATAGAGTCAGGGCTCCTGGTGCCAAGTCGACAGAGGTAACAGCCAGCCACTCTAGCGTTGGAGTCTCTTCCACTCGCCAATATAGAAGGCATGCATGACTGAGCCCATAGCTGACTGTAACTCATAAATGTAGTTAGCAATGAAGGTGCTAAAGAGAAATGGCTCCTTTGATTTGAAACCCACCATTCCCTTCTCTTCAAAAATTAGCTTTCTGTTTCAGGAATCATGGTTTTCTGGTCCACGTAGGGCCAGGTCATCTCCTCTTAGTGTGGCATCCCTTAGTAAATTAAATCCATGCCAGCATACGTCAGTGAATAACACTCATGTGGTTTCTGAATGGGGATCATTCCCCGTTTTGGTCTCGCTGGCATTGCAAATTGTTGTCATTCACAGTGATACAGAACCTCCACATGGGGGGAGGATCCCCCAGATTTTAAAAAATTGATTGTTTGTATATTGCTACAGTGTTTTAGCATTGCAGCACTATATTTATTACAGATAATTTTAAAAGGAGGGGGAAAACCTACAGATGGTACTAAGGTGGACCGTGGTGGGTGGGAGAGGAAACAATAGGGAATTGCTCTGTGTGTGTGACAATGTAGAAATCCTCAGAAAAACTACTGCAGCTGGGGAGGCATGGCAGAGCTCTGTGCAGAAGTAAACAACCTAGAATTAATATTCCAGAGGCATAGAATCTGATTGGATCAGCCCGTCTCACTTGTCCAGCTTCTTATTTTAGTTTATTAAAGTCTGAATTACTGTGCGCTATTAAAATTCACTCATTCTTCTTTGGGGAGAACCTAGGTCAGGGATTGGGGACTTTATAGCCTCCCATTAACCACAAAGGTTCTCCAAGGAGAAGCCAGTGAACTTCAAATCTAAAGAATAAATTTCCGTAAGAAAAGGGATGATCCAAATTAAACAATGTGGTGGTATGATATTTTTTTTTAATGGTGAAACTTTCCCCCCCAGAATGCATGCTCATTATTTACTACATCTTGGTAAGTGTAGGTTTTCATAGAGCTTTTCAATGTGGTAACTATCCCTTCAAGAAAATACTGCCAACCACAGAAAGCAAATGGCTCTGGGCGAAACACAATAGCAACTATGTTTTTTAAAAGGTTCTACAGTGATCCAGTGTATTTCAAGCCTGTACACTCTTCATCAAGGAATACACATTTATGAAGTGTTCCATGAAAACTGATAAGTGCAAGAAAGAAGCACATCTTAGTTTCCTGCAACAGTATTTAAAGATGAAGATGTTTCATATAGAAAACAAAACAAAAATACCAATAAAGTGTTGAAGAACAGAAATCTGTATAATACATATTTTGAGGTTATAATTTTAAATGAGTATTTATAAAAGAAATAGGAATAAAAATATGCACTTTTGATTTCCAAGGAAAGAGAGAGTCTCAGGATGAATAATTGGGTCCAGCTGTACTCGACTGGTCGTGCTGGAGTATGGAAGGGGATGCACTATGCATCCAACTGAAAGTAACACAGCATGCCACTGATGTTAGATGTGCATTCTGATTTACGCCTAGTTACCAGTCCAGCAGCTGTTATATTAATAGATGTCTACTTCTGCTCACAGGTCTCCTCATCAGGATTCTGCCAGAGAAATATAATTTATTTTATTACAATAGGCTGCATTCCAAACTAAGTTTTTTGCTAATGGAAAACTTTCCAGCCTGTTCCATTCCCACTGCAGCCCACTGATCTTCCTGAAATGCTACTCTTGGGGGATGGAACCCTCAGGAATGGCACAAGTGGCCAATAAGGGGTCTACAGCAGAAGGGGGAATTGGCAGAAATTACACCAACCGCATGATAAAAAGTAGAGACATCACCCTGCCAACAAAAGTCCGCATGGTCAAAGCAATGGTATTCCCAGTAGTCATGTATGGCTGCGAGAGCTGGACTATAAGGAAGGCCGAGTGCCGAAGAATAGATTTTTTTGAACTATGGTGCTGGAGAAGACTCTTGAGAGTCCCTTGGACTGCAAGGAGATCAAATCAGTCAATCCTCAAAGAAATCAACCCTGACTGTTCCCTGGAAGGCCAGATAATGAAACTGAAGCTCAAATACTTTGGCCACCAAATGAGAAGGGAGCACTCACTGGAGAAGACCCTGATGCTGGGAAAGATTGAAGATCAAAGAAGACGGGGACGGCAAAGGATGAGATGGTTAGACAGTGTCATGGATGCAACAAACATGAAATTGAGCAAATTTCAGAGGACAGCGGAAGACAGGAGTGCCTGGCGTGATCTGGTCCATGGGGTCGCGAAGAGTCGGACTCGACTGTGCAACTGAACAACAACAAATTCCATTAGCAGAAAATTTAGTCTAGATATCTTTGAAGTATGAAAAACTATTATTTCTAGGTATGACTCCAATTATACTTTTATGATTAAGTTAATGTACATATATAACTTTTAAGGTCACAAATTGGTCATAAGGCAAAAGGATTATAATGAAGACTACCAGTGCTATGTAAGACTTTTTTCATTGAATCCGTAATAAATTTGTCACTCCTTAGTGAAGAGATGTATGGGCTTGAAAACATGACTTATTAAAGATATTTTAATTGCAGCTTTAGGCTATTTGCCTTTGTATTATGCAGCAGAAAAATTCACCATATTAAAATGTGTGTGTGTGCGTCTGCGTGCAGTGGGGCATTCTCTCACCTCAGAATTCAGTGTAAAAGCCAGACTTGGGTACCAGCCCTAGCACTTTCCGATTATGTGCTCTTCTACAGAAAGCCTGGTCAACCTGTCCCCGACGAGTTCACTGCACCTCTGGAGATTCAGCAGCAGCACTTCGGCTTAGTGGATGGCATGTATTCATTCCAGTTCTTACCACCTGTGGAGGGTTTGTCATACAGGGTTCTACTTCAGCAGAGGCAATGCATGCACAAGCCCTGCCGCAGCAGCAGCACCTAGAAGAAATGTGGCTGAGATTTCTAAAGGCAGCATCCCATAGCCAGCTGTTTTTGAGCCCAATTCCACACAGACAGCTGTGTTAGTCTGTTGCAGCAAAACCCACAAGGAATAATTTGGCACCTTAAAGCAAAGGCATTTACTTATAAGTGGGCTTTAGCCCACAAAAGTGATCTGTCCCATTTTAAGGTGCCATGAGACTCCTTCTTTTTAAAGGGCTAGTTATCAAGGAAGAAAGGTACCTTAGTCCAATTCAACCTCTGATTTGGGTTAGTGTAGAACTGAAGCACATAGAAATCTAGAAAATGGAAGAGGCACTGAGGAGAGACAGTTGAGGGGTATTTGTTGCATTTGGGAACAACAGCATTGCCATTTGCTTAGATATCTGAGAAAAGAGGTTGGTCCAAATTTACTAGCAAGCATGTAGTGAGCATCCATGACCAAGGTGTGGAGGGGTATAGCTAAACCATCTTGGGACCCCTTGATTCATGCAAGGAGTTTGTGACTGAGGCAACCATTATGCCAAATTCTGCACCTGAGGTCCCCAGAACATGTACATAAGTCTGCTAGTAGGGGCATTGGTATCTCACTTTCCTTTATTAGTCTTTTCAGGCTGTACAACATTTGAGGTTCTATTTCTGATCTGCCAGTACTACCCATAGTTCTCATTCATTCATCTTTCCACAGATTATGGCATTAAACCAAGGCATCCCATCTTCCGAACCCAGTTGTCTCGTAAAGAATCAAAAGAACTGCAGAAGGCACACAAGAGCAAGCGGGATGAGCCCGATTTTGAGGAGTATTATTATGATGACATCTTTTGATTTGCTTTGGGGACTGGTGCCTCTTCAGTGGTCTTGCACCAGCAATTTGATAAAGATGTGATATGTGCTACAGGCAGAAATCCCTCTCCCTCTCACAACCTTCTTTATTGAACAGGGTTACTGAGTGGCACCTCTGTCTCTTCCATGCCCCTGTGCTACAATCACAGTCCTTGGCCATGACTTTGATAGCCTGGGAACCTTAGCTTTCCTCTCATGCATTCAGTGAGTGCTTAGCAAACCTTGAAAACATGAGACTAGTGGCTACAGATGGGCCTCTATGGCAGAGGTTGTTGCTGTGTCGTAAACACTCATGTACTTCTGCCACAGTTACTCTGCTCAGCCCTGCCCTTGCTATGACCCTTCTGGCTGCCATCCAGATGTGCTTCCCCTCCAGCTCTTTCCTCCCTTCTTTGCTCCCAGCCCCCCCCCCAACTCCAAATTCTATGAAAGCATGCAATATAAATAAATGAAAATTTCCCCACTGTGCAAAATAGATTGCATTATTTGAGTTTCCCTAGTGGACATCAGTGGTGTTATTAAAATGCAGAATATACACCATAGCTGCTCCCTCCAAGCGTCTTTAGGAGGAACGCAAACCAAAGACCCTTTGAGGGGCATTCTGAAATGGCTCCTTAGCTGGTAACCACAGCTCTGCCAGAGCACCATTTGTGTTTGGCTTGAGAAGAGGCTAGAAGATTAGCAAAAGGCTTTGCAGCCCAACTGATGGACGTTCTTCGGATTCCATCCCCTGAAAGCCTTTAAACAGAAAGTGGCAATGTGACAAGTTTTTGCAGGACACATCTGGTGGATTCAGAATGCCAGCAGCTGGGAATGGGTGGCTAACTAGTTTTAGTTTTTACTGGCAATTTCTCTTTTTAATTATTTTAAAATTTTTTGTTATTATCTGCCTTGGGTCCCAGTGTCTGGGAGAAAGGCAGACTTATAAATGTTTTACACAAATAGAGAAGCATAGAGTTCCGACACCGTGTCAAATAAGTACTGCCCCCACTATTCCTAACAATATAAAAGACACACCCAGCCTGTCTCACGGAAGTCCCTCTCCACCCAGACAGATGTAGATGTGGCATCAGTGAAGTGGGGAGCCTACCTGATCTCCTGTCCTCTAGAGAAGCCTCATCAGGGCAGAAAAAGAGCCACACAAATGGGGTTGCCTCATTATGCCTCAGCAAAGTCATTTCATACAACCAGACTCAAATGGAAACTTTCCATAATGCTCTGTTTACACCCTCAGTTATAAACATGGAGGCTGTTCAAGAGTTTCCTGAATCTGAGGTGCCACCATTTGGTCTCAAAATGAGGGCTGCTGACCTTGGAATGTTCTGTGCTGCACCAAGGACTGCCCACACGAGAGACACTTTGGGTGGGCAGAGATGGCTCTTCTAATTCCCACAAACAGTCAGGAAGAGCCATTGCTTAGAGGCCCAGCACACTTGGGCAACACAACAAAGGCCACACAGGCTCTTTGAAACATCACGTTTAATCATTGTTATCATCAGAGCAGATCCAGCAGAAGCACAGAGCCCCTTCCTGAGGGGTAGGGGGGGGAGGCAAAGGCACACCTTTCTGCAGCTTTCATTAGCCTCTTGTCGCACCTGCTATTTCCCTGGCTTTGCTTCTTCTCAGTGGGACCACGCCCTTCCTGTTTCTATTTGTGCTTATAGCTGGAGCTCCTCCCAGGCCCCTAGACATGGATAAATCAATATACCAGCTCCCCCAGTTCTTCCAGGATCCAGATTCCCTCCTAGATGTAGAACTAGCAGCTGGAGCAGTGTGGTGGGAGAAAGGAGACGATAGTTTGAAGGCTGGAACAGAGAAGCTCTTTCTATCAACAGAAGAGGGGGCCTGAGTCCTCACCGGCTAGCTACATGCTCCAGCCCTTTTTCCTTGCCAAAGGAATACCAGGCACCTGTCATTTCCCAGAAGCTGCCTGGTCTTTCCCAGGCACAGGATAACATTCTTACTTGGATGCCAGTAGGTATGTCCTGCGATCTGCCAGGGCAAAATTCAGCAAAACCCTTCCTTTTATTCATCCCTTTTTGCCCCCTTTCCCTGCCTGTTCACCATTCCCATAGCTTCCCAAGCATATTAACCATCAAGTCTTTCATGGTGGATATTCTCTACTGCTTTCAAATTATACCCCTAAAACCCCAACAGTGACAGACAGCATTTGGGGCTAAAGCGGGTCCTGACACACAGTAGCACCAGGCCAAGACCACCCATGGCTGTGTCCTCTCTGCCTGTAGCACCAAGTGAGCCCTTGTGTGCGCATTGCAACTGGGGAGCCCAGCACAGCCTCTCCTTGATCCAGCACCCATGCCTGCTCTCCTCCTAGACCTGTGGCAGCAGTGCCTGGGTTCCACTGATGGTGCTTTCCCCCCCAACAGAATAAACCAAAATGGCATATTTACTTTCAAAAATAATAAACCCATTTTTGTCCACCCATCCCACCCGTCCCCAATCCCCCTGCCCAAAGAAAGGAGGTGCACTGGAAGAGATGGGGCTTTGCACGCTGAGAGAAACCAATTGCAGGCCCATTCCTCCTCCAGCCTCAAAGCAGCTTGTCCATGCACAATGGGGAATGGCCCTGGTCTGTACAGGAAGGAGGGGCCCCGGCCTGCCCCTACTCTAGGTAGATGTCCTCTGTGGGGCATGTGTATTCCACACATTCCTTGTAGAACTGGTGGAAGGCTCTCCTGCAAGCAAAAAAACACAACACAGACAAAGGCACAGGACAGGTCAGAAGATGGAATTATACCATTTAGACATAAGAACAGCCCTGCTGGATCAGACTAATGGTGCATCTAGTCCAGCATCCTGTCTCATACTGTGGCCAATCACTTACTCTGGACAGCCAACAACAGGGCATAGAGACCGAGACCAGAGGTCATTTCGGGGGGGAACGCAGTCCCCCCGGGTGAGGTGCAGGGGGGCGGGGCACATGACGAAGCCCCGCCCCCTGCTTCTGGCCGCCCCGCTTCCAGCCCTCATTCAGCCAGGAAGAGGCAGGAGAAGCGGGAAGGTAAGTTGCTTCCTCCCCACCTCTCCCCACCCCTGCCTGCCTGGGGCCAGGGAGGGCCTTGGCGGGGCTTCCTCGCACTCCCGCTGGCCTTGCAGGTCCACCGCCGGGCCCCTGATGTCAGGGGGTGTGGCATATGCTAATGAGTTATGCTAATGAGTTCCCCTAGCTCTTTTTCTACGAAATGACCCCTGGCCGAGACCTTCCCCTGATGTTGCTTCCTGGCTCTGGGATTCAGAGTGCCTCTAAATGTGGAGGTTCCCCTCAGTTGCCATGGCTAGTAGCCTTTGACAGACTTATCTTCCATGAATCTATCTCATGGTCCATCTAGTCCAGCATTTTAAAGCTGTTTACTCCTGTGGCCATCACTACATCCTCTGCCAGCAAATTCCACATTTTAATCACTCTTTGTGTAAAGTAGTATTTCCTTTTGTCCATCCTGAACCTACTGCCCATCAGCTTCATTGGATGCCCCTGAGTTATAGTATTTTGGGAGGGAGAAAAATTTCTCTTTGTCAGCTCTCTCCACCCCATGCATAATTTTATAAACCTCTATCATGTCCCCCCTCAGTTGTCTCTTTTCTAAACTGAAAAGGCAGAGCAACAAGAATCCATAAACAGCCCTTGAATTTGCAGAGATGCCAATTCCTTTTTCAGCCCCAGTTTCAATAATCCCATTACTTGCAACTTTGTCATAAATCACAGAATTTACTTAGAAAATGTATATTCCTCCTGCCTGGAGAACCTGCTTGAGGTTGCTCACAACTAAGGCAATAAAATGAAACCAGTAAAACAAAGCCAATAAAGGAACCACTAAAACAAGCCGATGCCATTAAAACAGCCAAGGCATAACAATGTAAAAACAGTCTGAACAGTCTAAAATGATGTTGATAACATGCTCCTTGGGCCAAAAGCAGACTATAATGATAAAACCCCTTAGTTATAAGCCTGGGTAAAAGGAATGTTTTAGCTTGGCACCTAAAAGAAAGTATATTCCCTTTGCTATTGTCCTCCTGCACATAAGCTAGGAATGGCCCTGCCTATACTTTAAAACCCACAGTGGGCTATAAGACTGCAGTGGCTATTTTTGTGAGCAAGCTGCTCCTGCACTTCTCACATACATGGGTGCATTTCTGCAAATAGACTTCTTAGGTGACATGCCAATCATACAAACAGACTGGTGGTAAATGCACACAAGGAAGCAGATCCATAGGCAGCATTCATGCATCTTGTCAAGCCAACATTAAGCCTGAATTTGTATGAACCCAGTTTCTTCCTGCCATAATTGTGCACACTCTCAAATGCTACACATGGAATAGCAGAAGCAACCCTGCAGGATTATATGATTCTGACTGAAATATATCCCACTGCTAAATAATTCAGGCATTAGTCTGCTTTGCTTCATCACTTAATTGTAAATTGCTCAGGAAAAATACACCAACTCTGGAGAAGATTCTAATTCAGTGAAAAGAAAGGTGGGGGCCCAAAAAACCTTTGATTTTCCCATCATTATATTGCTTCTATTACCCAGTAAAGCTCTGGCTACCTGCCAGACAATGGCAAAATAAGAATTCTGATAAAAGCAGATGGTCATACATCATTTTGAAACACAGCTCATCTTGCTGAGAAAAGGTGGCTATCCCCTGACTTCTTATATATATGTTGACATCATCAGCTCCCTTCCCTTCAGTCCACTTAGACCAGAATCACTGTAAAAAACTGGATCTAGGATGTAGCCTGTGACTCACCCTACAGACTCCGCAAGCGGCTTGGTAGACTCCTCCGACACAAAGACGTGGCACGCAAATCTGTGGTCAGCCGGGTGCTTGGTGATGAACCCAAAATACCTGATGGGGAGAGGGGGGGGGAAGAGAAGACATACTAGGCGGCAAGTCTGGGTTTGAAGCGGAGGGCCCCCACCCCCAGAACGACACTGTTCTTCAAAGCAAAAGACGCAAGAATTTTCTATCACATTCTTTCTACAGTCTGACAGAAACAGAATCTGGAGTCCTCTGAAGAGGCAGTTACATGTTTTACTTTGTAGCACACAGGCAAAAACCAGGAAGCAGGAGAAACTGCACTGGAAGAAAAGCATCCTTATAACTCAACTTGGCTGATTCACCTTTTGATCCATTCCACTTTGTCAGTCAGTACTGCCTCCTGCATTTTGCCAACACCGAATAATGTAGATAGTATGTTCTGGGGGAGTCAGGTAGATACAATAATGTGTTAGAAAGAGCAATGGAAACACACCACTGAATCCTGGTTGCTAGAAACACCTCTTACAATTATTTAGCCAAAGGAAATGGGGTGGGGTGAGGAAGCTGCAAAGCACTGGATAATGCTGAAATAGGATGTGTCTGTTGCGGGGCAACACTAACTGTTACTATTGCCCACTGCAGCACAGTTATGTGCTTTTCAGTACTGGGATGGGAGGTCCACAACAAGGCATTTCATTTTTAAAAAGGTAAACGTTCACAATACAATGGGTAAATACTATGAGGAAAAGGGCAAGTTTGCCAGGGCTTTCATTACTTCCATTTTATAACAAACATTTAAGAGACTGGTGACCTGTTTCTTTTGTCAACTGTTTAAGTTCTCCTCCTCCTCTCTCTCTCCAACCTCTGTTGAAATGTCTATTGTAAATTTCTTAAGGCAAGGATCTTTCTCCCTTTTTTGTTGCTTATGTTACTTTGTAAAATGCCATGGTCATTGATAGCCCTATATAAATAACAACAACAAGGTAAGCACTAGGGAATTTAAAAAGAAGATGTTCAGAATGGCATGGTGCAGGGACGAAGAGTAAAGCATTAACCCTCAGTGACCTCACAGGCACTAACCATTATATGCCAAGGCATTTGAACAGTGACATTCCAGGTAGCACACAAAATTCTTTTGCAAACAGTACTGCGGAGTGGGAAGAGAAGCTGCATATCCCCAACAAAAGTAAATTACAGTTTGAGCTATGGAAAAATACTAGGGATGCCAGAACCCCCAGTGGGAGAAAGGATCCCCATAGTCAGGCCCCACCTCTCTGACACAGATCAGCTGGCCGGTAGTGGGATATTACCCCCAAAACAAGGGAGGAACGCCTGACATTTCAGTGACATGCCTACATGACTCCAACGTGACCTGGAAGTGACATAGGCATGGCGATGCTCTGGTCTTTGGGCAAAAACTCTATGGTAGAAACTAATTCTAGAGTGTTGCCCTAATGCCCCTGATGTGCCTGCATCACTTCCAGGTCATGCTGAAATGTGCAAAGAAATTCTCAGCTCCTGGTAAGCTTACCCCTCATCCCCTGCCCGGAGGGACCTGGCAACCCTAGAAAATATGGTTTTCTTGCAGCCAGCACACTAACTTAAAAATTATATAAGAGGAGTCCTGCTGGGTAGGACATAAATCCAGCAAACAGTTCATCATCTAAATTCAACAAAGGGCACGTTTCTAAGAAGCTTACAAGAAGCCATGAGGGCAAATGCTTTCACCATTGTTTGTCCTAGCATCTGTTTAAAGGGATTCCATCAAACTCTGTGATTCTATCTGCGAACATGGAGATTTTATATAGCTCTCTTGACTAACAGCCATTGATGGAGCTAGCCTCCATGAGTGTGTTAATTCCTTTCTAAAGCCATCTAAACCAATGGTCATCACCAGTTTTTGCAACAGTAAATTCCACAACATGATTATGGATTTTGTGAAGACATGCTTCCTGTTATCTGACCATCAGCTTCACTGGGTAATCCCAAATTCTAGTATCATGAAAGGAGGGGGGGAAAGTTATTTACTTTGTCTGCACTACTCGTTATTTTATACATTTCTATGATGCCTCTCCCAAATAACTCTTCTAAACACTTTGGCTTTTTGTCATTATTGGGAATACATTCAAATCCTTTGATCATTTCTTATCTTTTCTAAATCAGTTAGAAAAGTTGAGTATTCCAGACGCAGCTGCAACACAGATGATAGAAAGTTGTTATGACACCGGCAAACCCTTTCCGGACAAATCTAGCATGTCCTTTGCCTGCCTCTCGCTACTGCAGACTCCCACCACAGCAAAGTGATAACTGCAGATTGTTCACCCAGCAACAAATTTGTCTAGAAAGGCCACTAAACTGGGAAACCAACACGAGAGCCTTAACTATTTTGAAGTGTTTAAAAAAACTGCACATAAGTAAAGAAATCCAAATATGTTTTTAAAAGGGTCACTTCATATATTTTCCACTTCAATTTCAATATTATTTTCTCTTCAGTTTCATGGTAGAATCATATCTTAGTTGGTGCAGTGCTAGTCACAATAGGCATTCATAACTCCACTCCTAAATTTTCAGGTGACTGATGCAGGAAAACCATGTCTCTGCCTATTTTCATTGGCATTAGGGCCTACTGGTTATCAAGCAGATGCTTGTCAAGCAGGTTTTGACAAGGACCAAATAAATCCTTGTGCAGGAAGGAAGTCCCTATGCCTCCTTTTCTCCTCAAATGCCAAAGTAAAAAACCAGGTCTCTGCCTATCTTCATTGGCATTAGGGCCTACTGGTTGTCAAGCAGAGGCTTGTCAAGCAGTATGAACAAACAGGGTCAGCTGCATTGTTTTTGGAGATCTCTTGCCTCCCATACCTAGTTTTGACAAAGACCAAATAAATCCTTGTGTAGGAAGGAAGTCCCTATGCCTCCTTTTCTCCTCAAATGCCAAAGTATAAGCAATAGAAGTCTGTGCAATGGGAAAAACATTACAGAGCTTCCCCCCTGCTCTGTCACTGTCTGCACTGTACATCCTTCATCCAATAAAAGCTACATGTATCCCCAAGAAATCTTTAAGCTTCTAAGAGTGGTTCAACCTAAAACTGTAAGGAAGGAAGTGCCATTCAGACATTAGCTTTGCAAGTGTTTATGTCAAGAAGACAATACAGGGAAGAAATGCTGGAGGCCTCCTTTGTTATGAACTACTCTACAGCTTTTGACTACCTCCTGAGGCTTACTTGTTGTTCTTTGGGTGGTATCCACAGAAGGAAATGTTCTTCAGCTGGAAAAAGTGGCTACATTTATTTCCCTGAAAAAAAGAGAGAAAACACCTATTGAACTTGTATTGTATCTGAAGGGGGAGGGGATAGAGAACCGTGGCCATTTTCACTCTGCAATGCAAGACAATAGAAAGCTGCAGGAGATGGGTGGGTCTCTATACATCACTGACACGGAACTACCTGTTACATGCTGTTCCAGGATTCTTATAAACCCTGTAAGCTTTCTCCAATAAAGGTAAAAGCAGTATTAGGTGGCAATTTTCATTGGAGGCAAAGATTTAAGAAGCCCCTCTTCCCCATCATCACTCTGTCCCTTTAAATCACAACTTTTTAGGCCACGTAGTATCAAATTTTGAAAATACTCTCAAAAGAATCATTGAGCCACACATCACACGCAGTTCTTCTTTTATACAGGAATGCTACAGAGGCGATAGAAGGATCAGAATGGTAGGAAGGCTACATAAGTATCAAACCAGATGATGACAATTCCAGACAAAGTATTTTTGTACACTTGCCCAAGTTCACAGCTTGGCATTCACATTTAATTAACCAGCAATTGTTACTAAAACCCTGAATTCATATTTAATATGGAAAGGATATTCAATTTACTCAGAACTATTCACTGAAAGAGTGGAATATTCCCTTTTTCACCTTACCAGGCAGGTTTCTGTTATTACCTGTAGCCTATAATTATGGCTAACTGATCAGCTCTGCTACTGAAAAAAAACTTGTTTCTTCTTGTGCAAATGGAGGCAGTGGCTTATGCATCCCTATATCAAAATCCTCAACCTCTTCAAAGTGATCAGTTTCAAAGCCTGCTACAGTTTTATTCATTTATTTACATATTTATACCCTGCTTTTCTCCCAAAATGGGACTCAAAGTGGCTTACAACACTCCTGTTGCTCCTGTTTTATCTGCACAACAACAACCCTGTGAGTTAGGCTAGGCTGAGAGAAAATGAGAGTATTTATTTCAAATAAATAAAAGATTTGGATCACCGATGCATATAGCGATCCTCAGGATTTTAGAACTGGGTTGAGGAAGCTTTTCAGAAGTTCCTGAGAAGACAGACACAATAAAGTGGAATTGAGTATCAGGCTTTGTGATGATGAATCGAGCTGATTTTGGTTTACTAGTACATGCAGCAGCATATGATAGTGAGAAAGATATTTATTTAAGTTCTAAAAGGAATAAATTATGGTTTTGCTCCAATAAAAGAAATCCGAACCAGCAGCATTCTTTAAAACACAGCCCCAAAGTCAGTAAAATAGATATATCCTCACCCGACTTTCTGCATCATGGCCCTAATACCCTTGGATGACCCTGGCAGCAGAGTAATCTCATTACAGGGGAATGCACTTTCTGAATAGCTTTGTTCCTTCCTCTTGAAAGCTGGATATGAGCTACTTATGTAGAAAAGCTAATCATAGCTTTACTGCACAGACCCACACAGCACTGCTTAAAATAGTAGCAGGAGGGTTTAGCAATGGGTTCACAGATTATCAGAGAAGCTTAGCAGACAAACATTCCAGTGCAATGGGTATACTACAGGCTGTTCTCCTGTATCTGGACTCCAGGGCATGGACACCACTTTGCCCCTGCAAGTAATAACAAGTGGTGCTCCTAGGCAGGGCACACACAGATTACTTGCCCTGCGTATTCACTGTTGCTTACTTGCCTTGGGTAGTTCTGAGGGTGTGACTAGCAGATGTAATAACGCTTGGAGCACATGGATGAGTGGTTCTCAAGGTGCACAGGAGGACCTGTGCTGGTAGCAGAGTGACACATGGCCCAAAACCTACCTTGCTGGGGTCCTTAGAGTCGTCACTTTTCACTGCAATCTTGACTCCTCGCATGCTGATCTCCAGGACACAGCTGGAGGGTGGGTTAAAGTGCACGGTGAGGCGGCGAGTAGTGGCAATCTGTAGGGGAGAAAGGCAACAAATATACCAACGCCTGCACAAATTCTTCAGCGACTTTGTTCTTCCCCTGGAAAATGATTTCCCTCTCAATCGGCCAGAAAAGTAATTTTAGGTTCATCACATTATGAAACAAAATTGTTAACATTTTATAACAGTTGAAAAATACTCTGTGGATTGGGAATGGGAAACTATACGTGATGTCACTGACCTTTGTCAATATGCATCCTCCACTGTTCTCTTTTTTCTAGTTCAAACTGAACCAGATGAGAAACTGCAGTCCTGGTTTTCCAGAGCTTTTCCCAGGACAAAAGAGGAAGTACATTTGTACTAAATGTGCCAAGGGTGCTTTAAGACCATCCCTACTGCTGTTAAAACATTATGATGATCTTGACCGAAAGGGAACAACACATGGGAAAACCAGTTCTTGGGGTGGGCTGGGGAAAGGAACGGTACCTTCTGCATAGCTGCACACAGCACATCGTTGCCTTTATGATATGGAACCTGGACTGAGCCAAGAAACTTCACCCGGAACTGATCCACCCAGTCGCTGTTCTTGCTCAGGTCTGAAAGCCAAGGGCCAAGAGAGGTGAGATATATCGCAGTTGCACAGATATTCTACATTACCTGCTCTACCAAGGAAAGATTCAACTGTTTAACCCAGAGCTCAGCTATATTGTCCCCCCCTTCATTTACTTTAAACATCTCCCCACCCACAAAAACACACTTTGGCAAATGCATTGTTGGATCAAGGAGAAGGAAGACATGGTGAAATAGGGAAACTTTAATCCCTTCCTCCCCTATCATTTTCTTGTCAAAACAGCCACCCCATTCCTGAGCCAGTTTTACTGTTGCTGGGAAGAAGTGTCATTACCTGTATTGTTTTTCCCCAAAAGAGGTAAAAACACTGGTGTGAGGGCTTTTCCAGCAAGAGAACATCGGGGAGGAAAAGGATTTTCTTGCTTGATTCAACATTTGCAGGAAAAAAAGTGTAAAATAGACATACTGGAGCCACTAGTGATATGGTTGATGGGCCCCCGCGCCATGTATGTCTCAAACTTCTTATTTATTTATTTATTTTATTTATTTAAAGGTTCCCTTGCTCGAAAGCCAGTCGAATCTGACTCTAGGGTTGCGGTGCTCATCTCCGTTTCAAAGTCGAAGAGCCAGCGCTGTCCGAAGACGTTTCCGTGGTCATGTGGCCGGCATGACTAAACACCAAGGCGCACGGAACGCTGTTACCTTCCCACTGAAGTAGTACCTATTTATCTACTTGCAATTTCTTGCTTTCGAACTGCTAGGTTGGCAGAATTTATTTATTTATTTATTTATTTCGCAGACTTTTACTCCGCCCTCCCGGCAAAGGCAGGCTCAGGGCAGCATACAACAAGAACCAATAGGTAGACAGAGTACAATATTAGTATAAAAATACACAAATTATTAAAAACAATTAACAAAACGATGG